TATCATATTTAATAAATAAAAACATTTTTACAATTACACTTTCTATCCACTTTACTATATTTTCGTGACTTTTATATTTTATATTGTAGTTATATCTTAAGTTATATTTAGTTATATCTTAGTTATATCTTAAGGATATGTATAATACCGTATGTATATTATACAAAACTATTAGAGTTTTAATGATAACATTGCTTTAAAATAAGTTGCATAAAATTGTATTAATAAATTATTGCACATTTAATACCGTTTCAAACCTTAATGTTTAGGTCTATTGAGGTGTAGTTCCTCGTAATGAATAGTTTACGTAATAATGATATAAGTTATATAATACACATTTCTTGTACACAATATATTAAATAACTTCTCAAGTTTAAAATAGAAAACAAGTGATGTTGCCTAAAATTTTTAAAATCAATATAAATATAGTAGTTTCAATATTTTGATTACATTTAAATTAGAATTCACCAATTTATATTAAATAAAACTTACAATTTTTATTAAAATTTGTTAACAATTAACACAATTTTATACGAAGTATAATTTATAAGATTTGTCGTATTTGTCTCATAGAAGGTGTAGATAATGTTGTTTAACTTATTGATAATAGTTTACTTTGTATAAAAATAACATTTGTTATGAATTAATTACGAAATTGTGAACCTGTATCTTGAACACTTGAGGACATTGTATGTAATAGGATATAGATTTTACCTTTCCTCTATTTTTTTATACAGTATTAAAAATATATATAAACTAATTAATATCACTCTTACGTTAGAGTGCGGTCAATAATTTCAGTATAATTTATTCTGTAATTAATTAACTTATATTAATATGACCTCATACCGTATTACAATCTGTTACCGTACATGTTTATTATTAGATATATGCTTTTTATTTAAGAAGGTACATGCAAATATTTATTAATTTAGTGTCATTGTTTAATATCACAAATCTCATGAAATATGGGCAGCGAATAGCCGTCCCTCTGAGGGCTGTAGTGCGCGATGAAAGAGTTGGCGTGAAATTTACTTAAATCATGAATTTCACGGAAGTTTTGCATAAAATTTGATAGTCTTGTCTTTGCCTCGTATTCCGATCCGTATTTCATTTGTAAATATCGTTGCAATAAATGAATATAAACATGCCTGTGGAGTCTGTGTAAACAATTAAATAATTAAGCTTGTTCAAAAATAGGCAATAATTAACTCTCATGTGTGTCTCACTTAATAGTGTCCTTATGAGTGAGATTAGGACGGTCCGGGTTAAATAGTAGTATAATTGTCAGCTAAATAAATGGTAAATTATATGAAATATTGTGTAATGATATGAAATTATTTAAACAATTACCAAATGTATGACAAGTGGGTCTCCATCCCATTTACTCGACATTGTGCTCAACAAGTTCATATATGCCGTATATTTTCTCTCTTGGAATCTCCAGAATTCCAGACTGAGCTTGGTTGATTTGTCACCCTATACAATATGAACATTACGACACTTAATAGCATTAAAATAAATTGTCAGTTACAACTACAAACTGTCAGTAAAAGTGGTATTGTAGTAATAATACCTGGGGTATAATGAAGCATTTGGTGGCCGAATCATAAGTGCAAATAAGCCTCTGAATCAACATCTCGAGTGCCCCGAACTTGAGAAGTGAGATCTGGTCGTCACCACAAAGTGTGTCAAATGCCCTCAAATGGCGGCACATCCGCACAATAAGTGGTATTTCCGTTTCGCCCTTATTTCGCAAACAACCAATAAACTCATAAAAGTCTGTGGCCTCTGATGTGGCCACAGGAATGAGGTCCAGTAGGGAATGGTTGCACGCAGTGATCACTTCTTGGAGACGACCCAATTCATTGTCATTAAGCTGTTTGTGGTTTTCAGCGATGGATCGCTCGATGGGAATGTCGTCTAAATCAATGTCTGCTATAATTTTGATTAAGTCATCCGATATGTCGAGTGAAAGGTCATCCGGTTGTTCAGCACTGGGATCCGACTGTTGTGTCAAATGGCTATCACTGGATGTGTCCGATGCTATCTGCGGTGACCCATCAGTATTGATAGCTTTGTGGCGTTGACTCAACTTTTGACGGTTTGTCGCGATTTTGAGTCTTCTCTCCTCCTTCTCCTCATCGCTTAATATCCAACTCTAATGACAATAATTATGACATAATTATGACATAATTGACATTATAATTGAAAATGCATTCATTGAATGCAAACCTCTTTCATTCCGACGACAAAGCATTTCTTCAATCGACAGAATTTACAGAATCTTCTGGTGATGGGGTCTATGCGACAGTTGCTGTTGAAATGACACCAAATACTCTGTGTATGAAATAAATTATACGTATATTGAATGAAAATCTAGATATAGTTATAACTAATTTCAAATGTAGTTCAGTGATAATTACATCCTTTTTGTGGGCATTCCTTCGGAAGAATGCTTTGCATGACTCGCACGAAACGGCACCGAAATTCTTGCCTTAAAAATATTTGTTCACAATTAGGGATCAAAACATTAATATTAATTACAAAAAAGAGCTCAAATATAACTGCTCTGTGTTGTCAAAGTATAATATTTAAATTTAAACTAGTACATAATTTGTACTTCATTTACATACCAATTGAGTGATCGCTGCACACCAAACATTTGTATATTTTAGTTGACATTTTAGAGTTGATTTTGAACTTAAGATAAATGAAATCAAATAAATATCACAACATTTTTATCATAATAATAGATACGCTGCTAAGAGATATGCAGTCAATTTTCAGACAATGCTTAATGAATGCCTATTATACAATGAATCTCAACAATAATTACTAGTATTACTAGTTAAACCGACTCGGCCTTGATTATTTTGATAGTTTCAGTACAGTGTTTCAATACCTGCATCAGGNCCGACTCGGCCTTGATTATTTTGATAGTTTCAGTACAGTGTTTCAATACCTGCATCAGGGTTTTCCATGGTTAATAGTTATAAATATTAAACTAATACTGTTTACTGTACTTACTGTATATTACAGATTATACTGTACACACAGTGTATTGTATTGTATTCATATAATTCCCAGAATATAATTATGTTTTTGCACGGTAAAATTTTAGCGTGATAATTATTAGACTAATATGTTATTTGTCAAAACTAAAAAATTATTAACTCTTAATATTGTATACTATTAATAGTATATTCTTACTTTTCAAGGTTTTTATAAATCCTTAAACTGAATAATAAAATTAAATTCATTTTCATAAATTATTAACGAGCTAATTATATATTTGAAATAAAAAGTATTTCGTAAATTAATTATTTATTAATCACATTAAATATGAGTACATTGAATGTTTTTATTTTTTAAATCACGTGTATTTTACAGGTAATAAATATACAAATGACAAACATTAGACAAAAAGTCTATGTATTGAACATTGATTAAATATTTATGGGCAAAAATATATTAAAGTGAACAAGACAATTAACACAAAACAGTGATATTACTAGTGTTAGTTGTATTGATGTCACAAATCTCTTTGAGAAGGGGAAAGGGGTTCGGGAGGTTCGGGTAGCCCCGCATGAAAGAGGTGGCGTGTCTTACACTCAAGTCGTGAATGTCATCAAAATTACTCATAAAAAATAAGAGTCGCGTCTTAGCCTCGCAATCGGACCGGTATTTCAATAGTAGGTATCGATTGAGTAAATGCATATAACAGTGCCGTTGAAGTCTATATGAAATAACAAGGCAATTAATCGAAAGTTTGATAAAAATGAATCAATTCATTATATACTTAATAGCCTCGACATGTTGGAGGTTAGGCCGGTTTGGATTGAATAGCAATATTGCCGTTAACTAAACAAATAAATTAAACCAAATTAAACTTTAATATAACATACTTCATATTTGATTAGTATAATATTAAAATGCAAACCAAATCCAAAATAATAGGGTCGCCATCCCATTGGCTAAACATTTTGTTGATCCAGTTACTATGACCGGTATATTTTCTCGCTTCACTCGAGCACTTCCAAAATTCCAAACTGAGCCTGGTTGATTTGTTATCCTATTATGACAATTGATACATTTCAATTTAATAGCCACTTTATGAATGGATGCAAACTAGACAACGCTATAAGTATGGTAACCATAATTACCTCGACCACAATATAGCAATTGGTGTTGCGGTCAAAGGTGACCATAATTCTGAATAAAATCACTTCGAGTGCCCCTAACTTAAGGAGTGAGATCTGGTCGGACCCGCAGATGGTGTTGAATCCGCGCAAACTCTTACACATCTTCACAATAACCGGGATATCATTCTCACACTTCCGGAGCAGACAATTCAAAAAGTCGTTGAATTGTTTGGGCTCTTCAGTGGCCACTGGTATGAAGTTTCGCTGCATATGATTGGTGGCCGACAACAGCTCCTGGAGCCTAAGGAACTCATTCTCATTGAAGTTGTTGTTGTAGTCAGTGATGGGTCGGGCGATAGGGATAACCGCGAAGTCAAACTCAACCACACTTTGACAGGCATTGTCTGTGACCTTATAGTGCGGATCAAACACTTTGGCAGACATTTGTTGACAATTATTTGGCGAGTCTTCAGCGCCACTACTGTTGCATAATATGAGAGTTGAGTTACTGGTGTCAGGGCTATCATCACCAGTGGATGTGATACAAGCTTCGGGTGATGAGGAAACAGTAGATTTGCTGCTCTTATGACTAATATCATTGGATTGGCTACGTTTTCGCTTAAGACGTCTCGACTCAATCTTCAGACGTCTTTCCTCTCTCTCCAAATCATTTAATATCCAATCCTTTTGTCAACAAAATTAAGATTATCTTTTGAATAGAAATTTTATGTTTAATATATGAATACCTCTTTCATTCCGATATCAAAGCATTTTGTGAGTCGACACGTGCGACAGAATCTTCTGGTGATTGAGTCTAATTGGCATTTGTTGTTGAAACTACACACAAATAGCTGTTTATATAGACAATTAGTTATAGATATAAATTGTTAATTATTTTGTGCACAGAATATACTGTACTTTGATTTTGTGGGCATTTCTCCGGAAGAATGCTTTACACGACTCACACGTAACGGCACCGAAATTCTTGCCTAAAGAATATTTAATTAGAATTTAAATAAATTTTATTTTATAATTAAGGAATATTTAATATATTTTTAATTTATGAATATATTAATAATTTCATACCGAGTGCTCGGTCGCCACAAACCAGACAAACCAAATCATCGGACATTATTTTATTCTGCAATTAATAACAAATTAATATATATTAGTATAACTATAAGACCTTGCTCAACTAATGAATTTTAGCAGATGTTGTAAACTTTTTATTGCATTATTTTAATAGTATATTTATTGACAAATTATAAATGAATTCTATTTAAATAAAAATAGATGTATAATATATACATTGTATATTATACAATAGTATTTGATATTATTTGTTTACCTTTCTAAAATATTACAAATTATTATTTATTTAGAATTTAAGAAATTATAAATTTCACGATAAACACGATAAAAGATTTTACTAATATTTACACATTTTATTTAAAATATATATTTATACAATATTTTATTGATATGTGAGGCACACAACTGTTTTGAACAACAAGTATAAGAATAAGTGTTGATTTTTATTGATGATTTTCACTTGATTTTTATCAAGGTTTTTCATACTATTCTATACACTGGTTAGTATACGATGCCAGTAATAGACTTAACAAAACTCGGAATATTGATTTAACAAAATAATTATTTATAATGTTGTACTCAATAGTCTTTATGTTAATATTTATTTTGAATCATTTAATAGAGAGACTGCACTAAAGACTAAATAACATCTAATATTATGGGAACAAGTTTTCCTGATTATACATGACTTGATAGTCAATGAATTTATAAAATAGTAAGGATTTTAGTGCAACTTTAGTTCATATCGCTTGCATGAGCTCATAGGGGGCACTAAACTATTGTAAGATATCATAGAATTTAATTTCTCCAGGTCCAGGTAATTAATTTAATTTAATTATTATCTGTCTGTATAATGAAATCTATTTTTGCAAATCGTTAATAATTTTCGAAACTAACCCAGTAAATTACTAGGCATAGCAAAATACACAGTAGTTTTAACTGTAGTTTACAAAATGTTCTATAAATTAAAAATGTAAATTATATAATATTAAAACAGGGTAGTTTTGTTCAGATGTTCAAACAACTCATTGTCAAAAATAATCCGGAATCCGTAGAATTATTATTTGTATAGAATATGAGTATAGTTAGTGTATTACTAACACTATTCTCTGTATGATATCTAAACAACAAGTTTTAAAAACCTAATTACATTTTACTAATAAATTAGATTTAATAAAATCTTTAATTATAGTGAGAAATTAATTTATCGCTCAAATTACGACACTTAAGCTATTATTTATTAATATTAAAAATATTTGTAGTTTAGATATATTTTGTACAAAAGAATTTATTTTGTAGTTTAGTTTTTGTGTAGAATATTATTAATGTTAGTGTATTACTAACACTTATCTCTATAATATATAGTCAATATGATATCTAAATAACATATACATGTATTTTAAATTTTTTAAAATTACATTCTACTAATAAATTAAATTTAATAAAATCTTTATTGCTCAAATTACGATACGTAAGTTATTTTATTAATATTAAACATATTTGTAAAACATTAACTGCTTTTAAGTTAACAACAGTTAAATAGATTAATATTTTAGTTAAACTTTTTATTTGTTAAATCACTGTCAAAATGAAGTGTTTCTTGATCATTTCAATCTCATTGGCTTATACAGCAAATGGTATATATATATATATATTCTATCATTAATTTCTTACTGATTGATTACTACATTATAAATTATTTGCTTAACTTTAATTTGACTGCAAAATGAAACCTTTTAAATATATGGTTGCCTAACCACCCTTTTATACGACACAAACTTACCTAATTTATAAACTTGTTGAATTATCAAAAATACTTAAAATTTATATAATTTATTTATATGGATTCTAGTTAATTAAATATTTTTAATTAGTTTTAAGCCGTAATACCGAAATAATACTAATTAGGAATTAATATTTATTATTGTAAATTCTATCTGGATTATAGCCCTTTATGAACATAAAGTATCAACACTAAAGAATGGACAGGTAGGCACTATCGACAAGGACACCAATAATGTGTTAAAAACAAACGAGTTTACCGGAGCCGAGAGAATGTTACCTGACACAACCGAGAATATAGCCAGCTTTTGTGCAGTTTATTTGGGTGAATCTGGGAAAAAGTATGTATTACACCATGCTCATTCTTAAATGTTTAACTTTTTCTATTGCATTAAACTAAAGAATAATTATTTAAAAAATATGAATGAGTCATGAATGAAATAACAATTGAAATCAGATATTAACCTGTTCATATGTCTACAGTCCTATAATCAATTCATTGTCAGTATGGCTGAAAGTTGTGGGCACACTTAAGCCGGGTCTAATTAAAATACACGATCACATTTTCAACGACCGCAGCCAAAAGAATGCCCCGGTCAATGGCATTGTATTCTGGTGCAAACTAAACAAATTAGACCATGCTAGGGCAGTCACTTTGGTTAAAACGTTCAACTCCAAATTGGACCAGGCTGCTGCCATCAAGAACGCGGCCCTTGGCCAGATACTGGTGGCGTCCAATCACAATAATACCCTGCCCCTTGTTCTATGGTATAGTGTGCGCTGTTTGTTGTTATAGACGCACAATTATTATTATTATTATTATATGTTTTGTCTCAATGTATAGCACACTGCGATCGTATACCCAGCAGATTAAGTCGCTCTATAAGGACAGCGAAGAATTGGAAATGTTTGCCAACTATTTGGTCGGTTATACCACAGCGTTGGCTGATTCGGTGGACACCGCACTGAATGTGAACAGTAAAGACTACCGGTGCCAATTAGGCGAGCCTTCACCTGCAGATAAATTTGCTTTATGTCAGCCGGGGTTTTGCTACCAGTCCATGATGCACATTGCATTTACCGCGATAAATAAGTATTTCTAATAACGCTTGGTAATAAGTATGATTTTATTGTAGCATTGACATAATTGTTTGTTACAAAAAACACTGTACCAATTTGTTTGAATAAATAAAGTTTATATTTTTAAAATGTTTATATTTATTTAAAGCAATGGATTATTTCATAACATTTATTATATTGAATGACCAAGGAAGTTAAAAATCAATATTTGATTCACATGAGAAAATAATATAAAATATCATTATTGTTAGTGTATTACTAACATATCTAAATGACATACTATTTTTAAAAACTTTTTAATTACAAATTGTAATTTACAATCTTTGATTATAGTGAGAAATTAATTAATTTTTCTAATTAATTAATTAATTAAAAACATCAATTTGCAACAACACTTTTATAGTTTAATTTTTAGTTAAAGTTTAATTTTAACTTTTTATTTGTGAATTCACTATCAAAATGAAGTGTTATTTGATCATCACAATAGTATTGGCTTATACAGCTAATTGTATTATTAATAATTTATTATATACTATTATTTATCATTAATTTCTTACTAATTCATTATTACATTTTATTATTCCTTAACTTTATTTTGATTGCAAACTGAAACCTCTTTAATATGTGATTGCAAATTACCCTCTTATATAACTAGCAAAGTTATATAATTATTTAAAATTATAATTAAAATTAAACGTATTTAAAGTTAAAATAATTTATTTAAAACGGATTTTAGATAATAAAATATTTTTAATTACTTTTCAGCCATAATGCGGGTATCATATTAATTATAAATTAATAATAATAAATTATTATTATAAATAATGTCTAGATCATAGCCCTTAATACCACATATGAGAATAGGAACTTTAAAACCACTTTTGCAAAATTCTATATAAATATATATATTAAATGAGTGACACATAAATAAATATAATTTATATATAAACTGATAAATGTAATGAATAACCAAATATTTATATTGAATGATTCAGTTTATAT